CACACACACGTATTCGGTCTTGCTTCTACTTTAATTCCTCTTCTCTCCACACCTCTACCTCTCCAGGCTCTCATCCACCATCTCCCTGCTCTCACCACAGATCACAATGTCATCTGAAAACAGCATAGTACACAGAGACTCCTGCCTGACCTCATCTGTCAACCTGCTCATCACCATAGCAAACAAAAAGGGCTTCAGATGTGTAATGTGTCGTCTGTAACTACTACATCTAACAGACAAATTCATTAAAATCCCTGATAGCTACCCGAAATCAAAGGGGAAAAACAGAAAATAGTGAGAAAATAGTGATGAATGAGAATATGCACAACATAAATATACAGATATAAACGTTTTGGAATCATTAAATATGTTATTTCTAACACAATATTAATTATAACGCTGTTGATCTGCGTCGAAAGTGCAAGAGCGGATTTTCGAGCAGGCACTTTTGTGTCGAATCTGGCGCTGAGGAAGTCAATTTACGTTCGTTAACGTCACTCAACACATAGCTATCATGGCATCCACCAAAGCATCGAAAGAGCAAAAATACGACCGGCAGCTCAGGTTAGTTTAAACAACAGCGTAGTTTTCACAAAGAAATAACATCCCTCTCGCTAAGCGTGTGAAAACATGAGAGGTCACAGCAGCAACGCTGTTGGGGCAAAAGTGCTGAAGCTAGCTAGCGTTAGCTTGCTATGAGAGTTGCAGTTGAAATAAGCACCGGCGAGCTAATGCGTTAGTAAGCCGTAAGAGTGATGTGACTGATGTGATGTTATGCTCTTTGTTTCTGTGAGGGCTCAGGTGTCACCCTGTTTGAACGTATTTATGAACAGCTCTTGATGGTTTAACAGGTGTAATAATACAGGGCTGTCGATGAGGGTGAATCTTTCTTACCAGCAGCCGAGTCATTCTGGGAAAAGTAGCTCACTGTGTTTGTATAGCAAGTGAGGATAAATGGCAAATGGCAACAAATGTCCGTGTTGTGCTGTGTGCTTTCAGGCTGTGGGGTGACCACGGCCAGGAAACACTGGAAAATGCACACGTGTGTCTCATAAACGCCACGGCGACGGGAACGGAGATACTGAAGAACCTCGTACTTCCAGGTGAACAGATTTTCCTCAGTGTTAGTGACCTTGCTGCAGGTGATGGTGAAAACATCTGACTGAATGAATTGTTCTGTGTGTCAGGTATTGGAGCATTCACCATAGTAGATGGGCACACAGTCACAGGTGAAGATGTTGGAAACAAGTAAGTGGTCATGTTTAGCTTAAAAGCATTTTTATTCTATCAGTTTTACTTGCCTGCTTGCAGCTGACCTCTTAATCTCATTTTGCAGCTTTTTCCTCAGCAAAGACAGCATTGGAAAGGTATGTGTTGCTGACAGTTTCCATTTTCTCCCAACAGCTCTGTTGTTCTTTTGTTGAAGTACGCAGTGTATTTCCATATTTGTTTGAGTTCTTATTGTAGTTTTTGTGCTGCAGAACAGAGCACAGGCTGCCACCGAACTGCTGCAAGAGCTGAACAGTGATGTCTCTGGAAACTTTGTCGAGGAGGTTGGTGTTGCTTCCCTTCTCAAGGCAGTCTTGGCTGTTTGTAATCACGTGTACTGTCTGTAATCACATGGCAGCATGATTACACACACAAAAAAAACTACCAAAATGAATTTCATGTAACTTATCACTATGGCTGTATCCAGTTATTTTTATTTAAATGTGTTGCACAGCTATTTTATTTTCAGCTAAAGATCATGAGATCATAACAAGATTTACCAACTTGGTTCAAATAATTTACCAAGAGGTCAATGTCTGAGCAATAGTTAAGTGTATGGTGAAAATATTTGACAACATGCCAGTATTAACCACATTAACTTTTCCAGCTGTTTGTTTTCTAAACCTTAATAATGTTTCAGTAGAAATTTAAAACATCCGCAGTGTTTGTGATGTTGAAATGAAGATCTTTCTCCACCATTATACCAAGACAAATTCCACAAACTTGACAATAAACCTAACTCTGATTCAGATGAATGAAACACATGGTTTGTGAATTTATGACTTTTGCCACTCTGAAGCCTCTTGTAATTTCTGTCACACCTGCAGGGTCCAGATAAGCTTTTGGACAACGATTCAGAATTTTTCCACAGGTTTACCATAGTCATTGGTGTCCAGCTACCAGAAAGGTATGAGATTATCTTAATCCTTGCATTCGTTTACAGTGCTGTGCTAAAATCTTGATCCACCTGTCATTTCTTTATACTGTGCTGGGAAAATAGAAAATTGGTGCAGTGTTTTGAAACAATGTACAAACATACATAGAAATGCAATGTATAAGGAAAAAACAGTTTGTGCAATTCTAACAAGCTTGAAAGTCAACATTTGGTCTGACCACCTTTATTCTTCACCACAGCCTGAACTTTCTTAAGTAAGCTTTCTTGTCATTTCTTTAAGTAGTTGAGGAATAGTTCTGCAGGCTTCTTGAAGCACATTAAAAAATTGTTCATGGTGATGAAGAGCTTTGAATGATGAAGATGATCCCACACTGCTTCAATAATGAGGTCGGGGCTCGGGGTGAGCCAGTCCCCAACTGTTTTGCTTTTACTACAGTTCAGTGTGTTTGGGATCATTGTTACACTGAAATATGAGGAACGGAAGCTGATGCCAATTTTCCCTATTTCCTAAGGATATGACTTTCAGATACTGTTTATCTGCTGTCACAGTCACTTCTTGCCCTCTTCCACCTGGACATATTCGGCACCTTTCAAGGACTCTTAGGTTCTTTTGAAGTCACTTTGGTGGTTCAAAAAAATTTTTTTTATGTTGGTCAAACTGTGTTCTCTTTGGCATTTCATAGGTCCAACTACAGTGATTTGGAAATTGTTTAAAAAAGATACAAGAAAGTCTGATTCCTTGGAAGCAGAATGATTCAAGCCTTTTCCACTGTACTGTAATACTGTAACAAAGAGCTGATGAAGAAAACTACGGCAGTCCATAAGTCATTTATTCTTAGAGAACCTTCATACATATCTATTGCAAGATTTTCCAATCAAATTAAACATACTTCATTGTCTACCTGCTTTTAATATATGCTTTTTGCTTTTATGTAAAATGTTAACTCTTTTTGCAGAAAGTTTCAGGACTGAATTTTCTTGCTGGTTTTATTTTCTGTCTAAATATCTACACATCTTTTCAAATCCAACAGCACGTGTTTGAGGCTCGGCTCAGTTCTTTGGAGTGCCTCTGTACCTTTCCTAGTCTGTAAGACCTACGGCCTCATTGGCTACATGAGACTGGTGGTGCAGGAGCATACAGGTAAGTTGCTCTTAGCAGCAGTTTTCTTCTTTAAATCCTTTTTATAGTCTTGGCATTCTACAGTTGGTATGTCTAACCCGATAAGTTCACTTTTCAGTGAACAGTGAACTTGGTAGGAACATAGCCTATTTATGTAGTAATATTTCACAAGTTACACAGTATATTTAAGAGTACTGACATGACACTAATATTGAATTTTTCTGCATCTCTCTTCAGTGATTGAATCTCACCCAGACAATGCCTTGGAGGATCTAAGGTTGGACCAACCCTATGCTGAATTTCAGAACCACATTAAGTCATATGATCTTGACAGCATGGAGAAGAAGGTATGTTTCATTTGTGCATGCACATCATTCAAATGATGCCAGGGTTACACATCTAATCATCTTCCTTGCTGTTCTTTATTTAATCCGTAGGATCACAGTCACACACCGTGGATAATCATTGTTGCTAAATACCTGGAGAAATGGCTCAGTGAGGTGCAGTATTACATTTTTCTTTTGCTTCTCTAGTGCCAAAATGTCTGACAGCTTCTTTAGCATTTCTGTTGCTGTGCAGAAGAATCTAATTCTGCTTTTGCTGTTTGTCATTGTAGCATAATGGTCAGCCACCAAAAAACTACAAGGAGAAGGAGGCCTTCAGACAGCTCATTCGGGAAGGTACTTGTGGACCTGTGAAGATAATTGTGGACTTTTTCTCTTCATTTTATGTATACTATTTCTCTTTTTTTTTTCTTTCAGGGATCAGGAAGAATGAGAATGGTGTCCCAGAGGATGAGGAAAACTTTGAGGAAGCTATTAAGAATGTCAATACTGCTTTAAATCCTACCAAGGTGAGAAAATTTAAAAGCTCTTGGCTTCCTTAAGAGCTATCTTGTGTCCCACACAGCATATCTCACTTTTAACCCCCACCCCTCCATAGTTTAGTCTATTAAGACTTGTGAAATCTCTTGCTTCTGCAGATTCCTAGCGCTGTTGAAGACATCTTCAATAGTGAGCAGTGTAAAAACATCACAGCACAGGTTGTAATTTTTGCCCAATCTTTCCTATAAAAAAGTACATATTTTAAGGTGTTTGCTTTTAATCTGTGAAGTATTTCTTGTATGTGTTTGTTTAGAGTCCGTCCTTCTGGGTGATGCTGCGAGCTGTCAAAGAATTTGTTCACAACGAGGGAAATGGAAGCCTACCCGTACGAGGAACCATACCTGACATGATTGCAGATTCTCAGAAGTTTATCAACCTTCAAAATGTGTAAGTGGGGAAATATGTGGGTGCACACTGTTTAATTAAACAAGAGCAACAGAAATCAACTCAACAGTTCTGCATTTATTGATACATACTTGCCATTTGTGGGTGGTTTGGCTTCTTATTTGTGTTTTATTACAGTTACAGGGAAAAGGCCATGCAGGATGCAGCAGCTGTTTCTAAACATGTAGAATCTCTGTTACAGTCTGTTGGAAAGGTATGGCGCAAAGCTGTGGAGTCAGTATAAAGCTTATATTTCTAAATTTAATACATAATTAAGTACTGCGGACTCAGTAGCTGTTTTTAAAAAACAACTCAAAACTCACCTTTTTAAAACTGCTTTTGGTTAATTTTTTGCCTTTTTTATTTTCTCTTTTTTAAATCTTTTTATGACTTGTAATCTTATGTGGAGCACTTTGTGATTCTGTCTTGAAAGCTTTAATTTAATTTTAATTTAATAATGAAATTAACATCTAGTGTGCTTAAAACAGTGCAGCAATCAGACTAGTATGCTAGTCTGGAGAAGTATATGGTACCGTTTTTTAAAAAAGTCATATCACAGCACGTTTTTATCACAGGTACATTTGTAGATCCTTCATCTCCATCCAAATAAGTTTAATTCATCAGCAAAGCCAAGAGTGATGAAGTTAATGCTTTTTCTACTAGAACCTAATATCTCCATCATGTGTCTTTTCTCTTTAGTCTGGCAGGGAGTCATGATATGATTGAGCTATAGAGTTTGCACTCACATGCTCAGTATGGCAGTTTCACCATTTAATTTGACTAAAAACTGGATTCCTACAGTACTTAATTCTGCTTACGTTTTTTCCACTAGCCAGCAGAAAGCATTCCTGAGAAGGACATCAAACTGTTCTGTAAGCACTATGTTCTTTTATCAACAACCATTCACTGTGCGTGTGTGCGCGTGTCAAAAGATGGATAAATACCATGTGTGTTTTTGAGGGGGCCCAGTTTTTATTGCTGTTCAGCTGGGCCCCGTTTAATTGTGTTGTGTAAAACCTGGAAGTTAGTTATAATTGATCAACTTCAAATAACATGGCTTTCAGATATGACTATTCATGGTAATTTAATTATTATTGATTTTACTCATGCCCTCCAGTGAGCTTTATTAACATCCATATGATATTAACATTGTCATATGTGAAACAAAGCTGCACAGTGCCATACATTCATTTGTAAAAATGAAAGTCTGTCATGTGTTGCTTTACTGATATAGTCTCTATTTCCTCTGAGCCAGCATGTGTTATTCTGTTACTTTTTCCTCTCTAAGGACTCATTGGAAGTGGAGCGTGATATAATCTCTTTGTGACACCTGCTTCATGTGAGGCTAGTCATTTCCTAACTGTAGATATTTGTGTTTAGGTAAGAATGCATCCTTTCTGCGGGTGGTGCGCTGCAGGTCTCTGGCTGAAGAATATAGTGCGGATACAGTAAACAAAGATGAAATCAGTAAGTTGGGGATTCATTTTCTCTTAGAGTAAACTCTTATGTTGGAGTCACGTCATGTTCTTCTGGTTGCAACAAAGCCTACTTTTGTATTAACATCAGCTGCCTCCCCACAGCCTCCTGCATGGACAGTCCAGATAGCGAGATGGTCTTCTACCTCATGCTTCGAGCTGTTGATCGTTTCTATCAGCAGCACTCTCGCTACCCAGGTATGAAGTGCTTTAAGCTTTCCTCAACGAGGAAAGGAATATTGATGAAGCTTTGGATATGTAAATACATACTAATGTGGCCACTGACCATTAAGAAAAGAATAGCTGCTGCAACATTAAGAATCTCATCCAGTTTGTATACAGTCAGCATCTAAGCTATAGTCTTAAAAAGAGGGGGGGAAAAGGCTTGCAGGGGAGAATACTTCTCGTCTTTTATTAAACCATGCTTTCACCAGGTTGGACAATTCTTTTTCCTTCAGAAATGTCTTCATTCTTCATGGCACAGATTCAAAATGGTGCTGGAAACATATCACACAGATATCTTTGATCATATTGCCATGATGGCCCAAAGTGTGCCAAAGAAAATATCCCCCACATCCTTACACTACCACCGCTAGTCTGAACTGTTGAAACAGGGCAGAATGGATCCATGCTTACATGTTGTTTGCTAGATTCAAAATTTGGTGCAACAGAAGTCAAGATTCATCAGACCAGGAAACATGTTAGAACCTCTTCAGTTGTCCCCGGTTGTAGATCCCGTGTGAAGCTGACAGGAGTGGCACCCGCTGTGGTTTCTGCTGCTGTAGCCAATCTGCTGCAAGCATTGAAGTTTTGTGTATTCAGAAATGCTTCTCTGCATACCTCGGTTGCAACTTAATGGTTATTTGAGTTACCATTGCCTTTCTATCAGCTTGAAGCCGTCTGGCCATTCTCCTCAGACTGCTGACATCAGCAGCCTACTGCCCACTGGATATTTCTTTTTTAAAAGCCATTATTTGTAACCCTCTCTGATGATTGTGCAGGAAAATCCAAGTAGATCAGCAGCTGACACACCCTTTTAAAGTTAAAGCCCCTTTGTTTTTCCCCATTCTGATGCTCAGTTTGGACTTCAGCAATTCACTTTGACCATATCTACATGCTTGAATGCACTGAATTGCTGCCATGTGACTGGTTGGTTAGATATTTGTATTAATGAGCAGTTGAACAGCTGTACCTAACAAAGTGGGCAGTTAGTGTATGCTACAGTCTGATTTTACTTCCTGCTGATGCCAGAATACAGAAACAGAACTGATTTCTTTATTCTCACGTCTTTTTTTCCCCTGTGTTTACTCTCTTTAGGCGTTTATAACTACCAGGTGGAGGAAGACATTAGCAAACTGAAGGCCTGTGTGAACAGCCTACTGCAGGAGTACATCCTCAATGTCAACATCAAAGACGACTATATCCATGAGTTGTAAGTCGAGGCCAAAGCTGGATGTGCTGTTTTGAGTAATTGTTTCAAAAACACATAAGCAAATATTTGCTTTCTGTTTATACATCTGCAGCTGTCGATATGGAGCGGCAGAGCCACACACAGTTTCTGCATTTTTGGGAGGTAAAGTTTCGATTGATTCCTACAGCATTTCTTTGTGAAACAGTGCTGATGAGTAAGATATATCTGTTCAAATCTTTCATTACGTTTTATTTTAGGATCAGCTGCTCAGGAGGCCATAAAGATTATCAGCCACCAGTTTGTGCCATTTAACAACACTTTCATTTACAATGCAATGTCACAGACGTCAGCCACGTTGCGCTTGTGAGTACGATTACTGAAGCTGCTTACGGAAAATATGAGAGAAAAATGGCACAAGGATAAGCAGGAGTGTAAGAGATCAAACTGTAAAACTGGACATTGGGATTTGATTTTTACTAACATGCATATGCTTAAACCTAGAAGTGCTTCTCACTGAGAAGAAGCATTTTAGACTGAACTGTCAGTTCATAGTGTTTCAGCTTCTTCTCAAAGTTCTTAAAATGCGGGAAATCAAGATATCACCCATCACATACTTTCTGTTAAGCAGACCTTTAAGCCAGAAATGAAACTGTCAGATTCCAAACCTCAATGTAGTATTTTCATCTGAAATTCAGCATTTATGGATGAGGTATTACAGTGTAGTGGCACTTTGTATACATTAGTCACAACTGTCTTATTGTATTTGGAACAAGCAATGTAAAACTTGTAGTGTTGAACTGTCTTGTATTGCGATAAAACATTAAACAATTTATTTGATGTGTTTTGGGGGTTTTTTTGTGTGTTTTTTATTATCAGTAAATCTTCATCTCACTCACCAACCTAAGTCACATATGGGTTCACCTCTGGAAAACACTTAAAGTGACTTGTTTTGTTTTACAATGATTTCAGTTCTTCATCCTGAATAAATGTTTGATGACTAACGTGAGCTTCTTGAGAGGCCTGTAATGTGACCCCTGGAAAGATCCACATGAAACCGCTGTGGTATTTTTATGAGGGTTTGTTAACATTATCTTTACTCAACACTAGATGGCACTCCTCTTTTCTTTTTTTTTTACCATTTGTTGGTCATCATGTAGTTGCAAGTTTATTTAACATTCCTGCACAGTGACCAGTACCTGGATGCTGACCTTTGGATACAGACTGAGTTTGACTTAATCAGAGGTAGGATGTTAACAAAAAACCTTTAGTGTTAACGATTAACCAGTGTGTTGTTTCTCAGCAGCTCTTTTTAGATACTGTGCAGTGTGGAGCACACTGGTCTTTCTTTTCAGAGCGATCTAATATGTAGCACAGCCTTGCGAGGTGGTTATGTGATATAACTGGTGCACAGGGTAAGGTTTTCTTTTTCCAGACTTGAGTTGGATGGAAATTTAACCTTAACAGACCTCTTCTCCTCTCCAAATCTCCCCATGTAGATATCTGTCAGAGACTCTCACTCTCATACCCCCCCGTCACCGTCTGTCTGAGAAGGATAGAGCAGGTTGCCAAGAACTACTCTGGCCATTTTCTAAATCAAGAATTTGTCCGTTCCCTCTTAGAGATTATCACAGCTCCATCCAGCCGCTGCCTCTAAGAGTACCACGCTGTAACAGTCCCCTGTACAGTGAAATTCTTTCTTTGCTGTCCACAGATGCCACGCAGAATACATAAGTAGAGTAAATGATCATTTCAAAACAATAGAAACGGCTATAAACTACACTAAGTACAATAAAAGACAATAGAAATATAAGATATGAAAAATATATACAAATAAATTCAGTTTATTCACAGGTATCCATGCAAACATGTAATGTTCAGCGCTGGTTATACTAGGATGTCTTCGTTTCTGCTTCATACTGTCAGAGTGACAACAGTAACTCATGTGTCCTCTTGTAACCCAAGGCCCCCACTCATGTAAGAATGTCGACTGATAAGAGATTACAGAAACGAATAAGCAAAGAAGAGCTTTTTATCTGACGCAACAGACCAGCCGTTTGTGTTTTTTAAACCTTTTTTTTCTCTATTGAAGGATTCAGGGTATAAAAATTCAAGTATTCAAGTAAAAATTGCAGGACATGTTGCTATGATAAAGGGAAGGGTATCATGTAAAGCCGCTTTAAAATCCAACTAAATACTTCTACCTAAATAAATATTAGAAACAAAATGACACAATTAGTCAACTTCAGTCAAAATAGTACTTTGTCCTGTAAGAAATATCACCTATGCTTCATCACGAGATCCCTAAAAAATGTTGATTATACAGTTTTGTTAACAGTGGCGCAGATTGTAATTGCGTCATAGTTTACCACTGACACACACACAGCAAGCAGTCCTCCTTCTGCAGTGGTTGTAGGCAAACTAACATGTTTGCTTTTCAGTTGCCAGTGATTTGTTTGGTAAATTGACGGCTTTGAAAAGAACTGAAACTGCATTATTTAAATATGGTTGAGTGAAACAAGTGCAAACGCACATTAGTCTTGAAACACATATTAAGCACAATATAAACCCAGGGGTAGAGCGACCCCTCACACTGTAGCAAACAAATATGTGATCACAAGATCAGAAGTTAATCACATCTGTTGCACACACTGATTATCTGGACCTCAGCTTGCAAGTGTTTTATCTTGAAGCTACAGCAGAGGCCCCACACTGGAGACGTGAGTGTGTTAGGGGCCGTGGGTCAAAGGAGGTGGTCGTTAACGCTAAAATCAATCTGTAAATGAGTGGCAAAGTCTGCACAATGAGGATTCTGGCTGAAAGCTTCTAGCAACAAATGGAGAGCAAGGGCGGAGGGAACTGCATGAGTCAGCGTAAGGAAATGAAGAAAACTGCACAGTAAAGGTGGCAGATTTATGGGCACATCCCCCACACGGACGAGGGACTACTGTCCCCTTTGTCACATAATATGTCACTGGATAAAAGGTTGCATTTAGCACACACGTCACTAACAAAGTCAGAGTGAAAAGTGAAAGCGGTGAAAGAAAAAACCTGCAGCACTCGAGGATAATGTTCTCTGATTGTTCAGGGCTGTTACTTTGAGTGATTTACCTGGCAGATATTCAACTTGTTCACCTCTTCGTGAGACCTGGGCTGAATTAAAAACAGTGCAGAGTGGAGTGTTGAATGTGTTTGCAGGAGGACTGCAGGAGGACTGCAGGAGGCCGGCATACTTTAAACCTCCTAGAGGTCTGCCGAGGGTTCTCTCCATTCTTCCTCTAAACAGAAGGAGCTGCATGCTTGGATTTAACAACTTTGCTTTCTTAAGAATGTACCTAACTTATATTTCAGTATTGTGTTGATTTGACTGGTGTAAATGGCTCACTTTTGACGAAGGAGCTGTAAAGCTTGTTCATTTGAGTAAAGCAAGCTTGCAACTGTGTTCCTGGAAACAGCCAGCTGGTTTGTTACACAGAACCACCTGCCGTGTGTTCCTTCAAAGGTTTTAGGAAAGGGCAACCGTTAGTCTATCTGTGTGTACCAGCTAACTTAAGGAACCACAGAAAGTGAAAAATGGGAAAGAGAAAAAGGAAGTTCGAAAGATAGATAAGTTGGCATCAGTACAGGCAACGTGTCTACTTTATTGTCACTGTAGCTGTGACCTTATTGGTCAGTAGTTCCTGAGAGGACACAGATTGGTCCCTCACGAGGTAGACTATTTTATTGTGATGTTGCACGAAATAAGCTGCCTCACAAAGTAAAGTGGAGGACTCGGAAGAAGTCTCCTTGCATGACGTGTGATCAGGATGTTTAGCACAGTTTCCCAATGGCAGAAATGCTCCTGGTTCAAACATCTTGGTCAGCCGTGACCTTTCTTTTTGAAGTTGTCTTCTTTAGGTTCTCTTTGAGCACTCTGGTTCCTCCCACAGTCCAAAAACATGTTTGTTATGTCAACTGGTGATTATATAAGGATCAGAATAAAAGGTTACAAGCATGTATGGGTGTGTATGGTTGTGTTCACCCTGTAATGGATGGACCATCTGTCCAAAGTACCCATTTCCTACCTATGACACTTCTAATAGGCCTCATCCTACCCTGAACATTGAGTTGGATAAGTGGCTAAGAAAGTGGATGAATGGGGTTAAAAACAGTTTCAAGATTCACAAACACATCTTTAGAGAATACATTTGCCATCTACACAACCTACTAGGAAATCCAAAGCTCTGCAATTTGATTTTGCTGACCACTTTTTGAACTTAAAATGCAAACCTAAGAAAGCATGTGGTGAGTGATCACACCAGCTGGTATGCCAGTGAGTTACACAGATTTTCCAAACTTTGCCTTTAGTTTGCTCTCAACCGCAGGAGGAACACTTTCTGTCTTTATTTCATACGGTAGTGACACTGTTGTGATCACAAAATGAGTCCACAGACAGGCAGACGTATAAACACTCAGTCGTGTGTGTTAGTCTTTGTGTTGCTGGAGTTTGCAGAACGATATTTTACCATGAAGATACACAAACACAGGCTACACAAATTCACAGGTGCAAGCAAACACCAGTATTAAATATTATATGTTAAGATAAGGATATCTGACATTGGGAGTTACAAACGCATTAGTCTGAAAAAAATGTGCGATAAGAGTAGAGCTCACTGGATAATTTCTTTTTCAAACCATTCTCTGTAAACCCTAGAGATGTTTGTGAGGGAAAATCCCAGTAGATCAGCAGTTTCTGGTCTGAAGCACTCAGACGTGTCTGTTTGGCCCCAACAACCATGCTACATTCAAATACACTTGAATCGCCTTTATTCCTCATTCTGATATTCGATTTGAACTTTACGGGTCATCTCGGCCATGTCTGCATGCCAATGAGTTGCTGTCATGTAATTGGCTGACTATTTACATTAAAAAGACCAAGCAGCGTGTTTGTATTACTTTCCCAGCTTTGCAATCTAAAACGGTAAACTCTAATTAAGGGAGGTTTTTATATTTATTATGATCTAAATATTGCTATCAGCATGTTCTGATTTAGATTTGATTTTTATTATTTAAAGACTGGTGAACATTATCAATTAAGAGGAGCTAAGCTGAGAAAACTCCCAGTGTGCATCCTCAAGTATAATACAGATCAATGGTATCATCGGATGTGTCTGTAATGATTTAGTACACTGGAATGAAATCATAACAAACATGCTGACGAGACTTCCACATAACTCAAACATGCGGTCATTGATGTTTCTAAGATGTTCATCTGTGTGTTAAAGAAGGGCAACATTACAATATGCCAAACTGAACCTTACAACACATCTGATATGCAGCTGTCTGTTGTGGCTGTACAATCTTGATAAACTTGGTACAGGTCAGAAGCTCCAGTTTTCACTAGCGATCTGAGATTTGTAACACTGTCAGATTACCAGCGATTTTAACTCAACTTGACTTGTCATAGTAAGAAAATCACAGGTCTAGCAAGACTGAAAATGACCTCCACGCAATACCTAAATTGAGCCCCTGAATTCAGAAGGATATCTGGATAATAGAATAGTCTTTAATATTTAACTAACTAACTGATCAAATCCAGGATGTGGATCCACTACTTTGAAAGTTAAGCACTTCTCTTCTGAGCACCTTCTAGTAAAATTTGGGTTATCCTTCTAGCAAACAGGCAAATTATGAAACAGAAGAACTAAACCTATTACATAAACTTCTAGGTGGAGATGGTAATAATAGAAACTATCTTGTGACCACATCAGCAGATGAGTTCTGAGACCACACTCATCCTAAAAACTGTGATAATGATAATTCATACAGGGAGTTACAAATGCAAAAGGCACTGACCAGTGGGAAA